TATCACAAAAACCATGCAGGAAAGAAAATCGATGGAGCTGAGGAATAATAAGGTAAACAACACAGTATTTTAAAGGAGCCAACTCTAAGCAGGTAATAATAGCAATTAATAATCAAACAACCATAAAAAGGTAAGAATGAATTTATTTATTTTAAATACAGTAATGACCCGATTTTGTCAGCCCCTACGCTACAGTCTTTTTCCTTTCTATAATTTCACATAACCATAATTCTAAATTTTTCTAATTCATCGTTAAGAAGGATATTTAAAGTATACTTTGGTGCAATAGGTGCAATAAGATGACTGAAAAAGGGCATGGGTGGTTTTGTAGAACATTGGAAAACATTTTCAAAAAAGGGGGCTGATAAAAACGGTACATTACTGTATTCCAATTACATTTACATGATTTATCACATATTTATGGTCGTAATCTAATACACACATTTAATTACAATACGAGCCTAAAAGATGCAGTGACCTAGTGAGTACCATAGCTCGAGTCGTCTGTTATTGTTGTGTATCGCATGGAGAGCCCAACCGAGATTCTAGGCTATTAAGACTGCAGTTGCCCGAAAAAAAATAATTATAATAAAACAACGAAATTACAATGATTTTTACTGTTGGGTTTTGAGTACATCAAAATTTATTGTTAAATTATTGTACGGGAGAAAAAATAGATTTCGATTTTTAACGATACAATGCTCAAACAACGAAAATTTGTGTGATGAGATCAAATTTGTTCGGGAAAAAATCACTTTTTTATATTGTTAAGATGCTTAACAACCCCCCTTTTTTACTGTAAATTTCTCAAATACCATGATTTTCATTGTTGTGAACCATGAATTTCGTTGTGATTTTATGGTAATGGACAAAAATGTCCAATGTTTTGACAGTAAATATCATGGTTACAATGACAATAAAAATCATTGTATTTTTATTGGATTTTTTTTTACGGGTGGTCAACTCTCGAAAAAAGGATGAAATGAATATCTTGTAGGTCAGATATTATATACACCTCTTCAAGTATTAATAAAAACAATAATAATTATAAAAAAAATATTTTTTAAGTTATATATTCGTGGATTTTCCTATGCTTCGAGGGGTGCATCGACACGGATTTACTTATTCAATCGGATTACGACGCAGTTGTATCTACGCGCACACGTCACTTCATTTTTTCGATAACTATCTTGAAACAATACACACGGAATCCAGTGTTCAAGCTAGTAACCATAGGAACGTTATTTTCGCCTTTTTGATTACACTGAAACAAGGACCATAGTTATGAATACTATTTTGCAGAAAACACTTACTTTCAATATAACGACGCTTATTACCGTTAAATCTACTACACTGAACAAATTTCAAAGATTGTTTTTATATGTCCCACACATGATTTTTTGCAATGTGATCAACAAAAAGATATCTATGTGTCGGACACATACTTAATATATGTACACATAAAAGCCATGGGTAACCACACATACTATTCATTTGGCTCATAAAGTTTATGTGTGCTTCTGGGTGGATTCTGTTTATGTGTGGCTACATGAAAATAATGTAGAATTTCACATGGAAATTCGTCAATAAAAATGTGTGGAACTTTATTAGTGTAGGAATTAATTATAGTTGACTATGAATATTAACAAAATTACTATTATTCTGGCAAAACTACTTTGCTTGCTAAAAATGCATAGTAATTTTGATAATTCGTTTTCTGCAAAAATCTTTTGGTGAAGGTATTCAATTTAAACCAGCAATATAGTATTTTTTTCCAATGGATTTTGTTTCAGTGTATGTACAACTGAACAACGACTATACCAGTGTTTGCAAGTTCTGATGAGGCCCGTATATAGCCAAAAAGGCGAAATAACGTGCCTATGGTTACTTGAGCAGGCTAGTCCTTCTGCTGTATTGTCAAAGAAGGAGCAACATTTATTCAAATGGTTCAAGTCTTGAAAACAAAACAATAAAAAATAGTAATAATAAAATAATAATAATAAAATAATAATAATAAAATAATAATAATAAAATTAATGATAATAAAATAATAATAATTATAATGATAAAAATGACTCTGCATAAGAATGAGAGGATTAAAGATGATTTGTCATGTTTTATTTTCACATTTGCTTTTGTTTTCATCAAAGTTATTTATATCAGCTACAGTGTCTCATGATCTAACAACCACTGCCTGCAACTAGTGATGGAGGGACTGGAAGGTCTGATTACGGATCAAAACTAACATAACTCTAACACTAAAATGATCTCGAAACTAACGCTCATTCATTGCACTTTATGTTATAAAGTAGTTACTATACTATAGTATACTTTTCTAATATTCTGTCTACGTTTCTTTTTCTTTGTTTTCTACTTTATCTTTATTCCCTTTTTATTTTTCTGTTCTTCTTTCCTTCTTCTCTTCTTTTGTTAAAATGTAACTAATACTAATGCCTCCTTGTTTTCTCTCTAATTTGTCCGTTATATCCCACCATCACGATGAGAGATGAGCTACCCTACATGGTAAACACCCATATGGGCTCCTAATATAGTATGCCGCAAATTTAATAATATCAACGAGAGGATAAATGATAAAAATTCTTCGAACAATACAGGAATGGCAACATCTCTAATAGATAATTACCGTAAAACGGGGTATCTTTGATAGCGCGGGTAACTTTGATAGTATAATATAATGACTAAATTAACCTTCTGCACTATTTCCTAATTGAAAACATTGGTTTCAATCAATGATCATGAAAATGTTAAATTATTTTTTAAAGGAGATGAACTATCATGAAATCCTAAAGTTGCAACAACATAATATGTATCATGCAATACAATATCAATTGAAGAATTAGCAAGAACTACTTACTCCTGTTCATATTCCAAATACGGTGTAGGTACCGCTGCTGCCCCTAATAAATCAAGCCAGTTTGGGTGAGCCTTGAAGCTCGCCTTTGGAACCCTTATCGTTATGGTGTATAATTTAAATATTGCTAATTGCACCTGAAGCTGGACTGCCCCAAAAATTAAAAAAAATTGCGATAAAAGTGCACGTGTCCGTCAAATCGTTTTAGTATTTTCGGCGTACTTATTGCTTGCATAATAAGGAATAACTGTACCGAACACACCAAGACGATTAGACGGAAACTCGCAATTTTATCACACTTTTTAATAGTTTCCAGTTTGGTGTGAAATGCGAACTATGCTAGCTTGGAATGTTTTCAACCTCTCTGTGCTAATCTAAGAGTCCTTAACTAACTATTATCGGTACAGCTCAAAACCGGAATAACCCACTAGCGACAATCGAATTTACTCTCGTTTTATTCATTATACATAGTATCGGAAGTTATGGCACATCATTATGCGATTACAGTGCACTACTTCCGACACTTTGTAAAAAGTACAAAACTAGTGTAAAATCGAGTGTACCGATAATATTGTAAATTTTCTTCACCGTCGTCTGTTACCTAACAAAACAAACACGCCGGTTCCAAATCCTCAATAATATTAATACCGCATAACCGACTCCCACTCCCACTCCCAGGATCCACAAATTAGATACGCTAACCAGCAGTATCGCCACCACGATGCACCAGTATCGGTTATTAGTTCTACCTGTCAGCGCATTCCACCCTGGATAGCTACTGCACTGGGAGGCCAACTCGATGAAAACAGCCTCTTCCTCTTAATACTTACCTTTTCTAACTCCGGTTACTGTGCCATACAATCTCCGGTCCACTCCGCGATTTTCACGGTAGTCCTCATAGGAAAAAAATACAGCCGTACCTGTTCTCCGGGCGCTCGATCTTGATTATCGGTCCAGAGTCTAAAAAGTCGCAAAGTGAAAGCTTGAAATTTTCACTATTCAATAAATCTAGACCAACAATTTAAATAGGAGGAACAACCAAACGTAAACAATGACTTTAAACACAAATTTCTCGAGAATCAAAACACACGCACACAAACTAAGAATTCTATTCAATGAAGGAAGTTTTCTCTTTCAGATGCTGGAATTAGATTATGTGGATGTGTTTTGATTCTCGAAGAATTTTGCGTTTAAAGCCATTGTTTAAGTTTGGTTGTTCCGCCTATTTCAATTGTTGGTCTAGAAATGCTCGTTTGTATACACTCTGCGATCGGAGCACGAAGTTTGACACTTGATGCTCTAGCAGAGTGTATAAGCGAACAAGCATACAATTTTTATGCTTGTTCGCTTACTCTGCTAGAACCCGAGCGCCAAGTGTCAAACTTCGTGCTCGGATGGCAGAGTGTAAATAAACGAACAAAAATTCCACCACAGAGATGGTCTAACGACGTCTAACCAGCCATACAAAAAAACGTCTAACGTTAGTCTCACGTTAGACTAACATGTTAGATCGAAACGAGCTGTAACGTCTAACAGACTGTGTCATATCAGTCTAATATTAGACGAACATTAGACTAACGTTAGACCAAATGTTAGTCTATGGTCTAACGTGTTAGACTAACGTTAGACTCATGTTAGACTAACCTTCCGTGCTGGGATGTAGCTACACCGCAAAAACGAAAACGACATAAGAGATGAACTAGCCTTCGGCTAAAAATCTCTAAAATAAAGATTTAAAAAAAAGTTGCAAATTTGTATTTAAGGTACATTGATTACATGTTCAAAACTTTTAATCAAATTAAGTACGTAATTACTTTTAATTATCTTCAGCACTATTTCAAAACGCATTAATTACTTTCAATACTTTTGCTTGCATTTTAACTCTTTGTATTGCGTAGCGTGCCCCTCGGCTTCTAATACTATCGACATACAACATTTGTAGTACCGTTGTACTCCTTTAATCTAGTACCATCGTTTGTGGTACTGGATTAAAGGAGTTGTGCTCATTTAATCCAGCACCGACACACGACACACTGTCTGTCATAGGTATAACTTCGTTAGTTTGTTTTGTTTGTGTTGCGAATGGTTGTCCATGTCGATGCTCTACCCTACGTGAAACGCCGTTGCTGGTACTACATGCGTTGCCATAGTAAATAGAATAAATATTTATTTACTCCCACCGCTTTCCGAGGCATTCTTGAAACTGTGTGTCAGCAAACGTACGGAATACTTTTGACTAAATACCGTGAAAGTTTACTCATCTTCAAAATGGTTTTGCTACATGTTAAACGAGGTGATGAAAGCCAGTTTCTCTATGAAACAAATCTATCAATTACGATGAGCAACTTTCACTCGAGTTGCTAACAATCTACAATGGCCGCCTGAAAGTTAGCCGCGTGTGCTCCGGTAAGTAACTGCATCGCGGACATCTTGCACATTTTCTATCGATTATTTTTGTCCACTATTGACAGAAATTGAAGAACTATCGAAGCACGGCACCATGCTACCACTAGATATGCTTGGGCTTACGATGAACAGGTAGAAAGAGCTGCACTTGGTCGACGAGTGGGCCGAAAAATGTGTACCTTCCGGCGGTTGGATCGCTAATTCCCGATCCAGTGGGTCGTCGAAATGGGCGACAGCCGCAAGAAAAGATGCAAGAAATTTTGGAAAAAGCCGTGACCGACGCTAGGTTAATGATCTCTAAAAAGCAAGTCGACCTGGGTACCATTATCCAGCAAAAAGTGGTACAAGATGCATTGGACTTGCTGCGTGGTGCGGTAACCATCGTTTATCCTATGCAACTTCCACCACATGATCCGATTCTAATGGAATTTTTAAATACCGAAGATTTGACTGGAACACAGGTAAACTCAAATCCGAGTTAGCGAGACAAGATTTTTTCTTCATATAAGCTATCCACAGGCATCTCTTGAAGTGATTGAGCCCGCTAAAGTTCAGCTTTGGTTTGCCGGAAAGCTTATGCTTCCTGATCGAAAACTGTTGGAAATCGTTGGGAACAATGAAAAAACGAAAATCGTTATAAAGTTATCAAAAATCAACGAAGGCGCACCGGGTAGAGAACCAGTAATGTCGGAAGAAGCCAAGAAACAATTGATGTTGCAAGCTTATCGTCGCCAAGAAGAACTTAAGGTAAGCGATTTGTTTTTTTTCGTACGATTTGTTTTTAGTTTGTTCATGAGAGTTTCAAAAAACTTTTAATGCATAACATTTTGTTAAGTTTGGGTGGACCACATAAGGCCGTTATAAATATTAAACAATAATTATATCCTATCACTACAAACCATAAGAAGTGGGTAGGTACACTTCAATCAATCAAATTTCACTTTAGTTTTTCTTTGGCCGCCGTTTTGGGTGCTTTTCCCACAGCTTCTACCTAAGTCACCTACGACTTAGGAATATGATTGCTTCTAGCGAGGCAATTTTTGCAGAACATCTGTTTTCGCT